GAGCCAAAGTCAGACGCTCAACCGACTGAGCCACTCAGGCACCCTGGAGTTTATATTCTAATAGAGGGAGACAGATACTAAACACTACATAAATCCCCCAGGAAAAAGAGCAGCCTGTGATAAGCACTGTGCAGGGAATTCAATTAGCCATGTGATGATAGAGCGTCCCTGGGCAGTCAGGACCGGCCTCACTAGGGCAATGTCAATGAAACTGGAATCTAAATGTCAAGAAGGAGCCAGCCCTTCCTTAGAACTCTGAGGAAAGCACGTTCCAGGCGAAGGAGACAGTTAGTGCAAAGGCTCAGCTGGACACAGGCCTGGAGGGTCCAAGGGCAGAAGGAAGTCCGGTGGGCTGACTGGTGCCGAGGGAGGGAAAGGGTGTGAAGAGGCTGGAGAGAGAGGTGGTGGCCCGATCCCGAGGGGCAATCCAACTCAGGCTAAGGGGCCTGGATTGGATTCCCAGTGCATTGGAGAAACTGCTGGAGGCTTGAGGTGGAGAACAGCCTCATCTGGTGTCTATGAGAAGGTCACTCTGGTGGCTGTGTTGAGACTGGACTGGGGCCAAGGGAGGAGCCCAGGAAGAGGCTGCTGCAGTCGGCCAAGAGCAAACTGATGCCGGACCCTGGGAATCAGCAACCTCCTCACCCCTTTCCAGGTCGAGATCCTCCTGGCGGGGCCCCAGGGGGCAGGTGGATACACCAGGGTCGGGAGGGAGATTTGGGTGTTCCTGGCCAGCGGACCAGATGAGACCACATGGGGAGAACGTGTAAGTGGAGGGGAAGGGGCCGGGACAGACTGACGGGCTGAGAGGACAGGGAGCCAGCAAGGAAGACGGAAAAGGAGCAGCCAGCCGGGAAGGAAGGCACTTGCAAAAGCCTGGCAACACAGAAGCCAAGCGGAAAAAGTGGTTCAGGAAGGTGGGAGGAGCCAACCACGTGACACAGACTACAGCAGGCAACAGATTGGGGTCTGGGCCACGGCAGGAGCCGCCGCCCGCCGCTGCAATGATGCCCTGAGGGCAGGAACCGACTGGAGGGCTGAGGCAAGGAAATGTGGGTGCAGATGAGGCTTTCAAGAAGTTCTGGCAGGAAAGGCAGCAGGAAATGGCGGTGCAGAGGCAAAGGCCGGAAGTGCTAAGGCAGGACTGTTCAAAGATGGGCGTGATCCCACCGAGTGGGAGAAAGTGAGGACACAAGACAGAGGGGTTTGGTCCCCAGGGGGTGGGGTCCAGGGCACAAGCGGGGGCAGGGCCCGTCCTCCATAGGCCAGTGGTGAGGATACAGATGGGGGCAGGTGCCTCGTGGTACGAAAGGGAGTGCCTTCCTGCTGACTCTGCTTCTAACTTCTCAGTGAAGACGCTCCCTGGAGGGTGCTGGGGTGAAGGGCAAGCGAGACAAGTGAGACAGGCCGCCTGCAGTACAAGAATTCTGGGAAGGGAGACCAAGTGACATGAGGGTTTGGGGGAGGGGAGCACATGCTGGGGAAGTGTGCCAGCACAGGCGGGCAGTGCTAAGTGCCCCGTTGAGACGTGCGGCCGTGGATTGACAGGGGCCGCGGCCACACAGACACATGTGCTGCGAGCTTCATCACGGCAGGGAGAAGGCCCTGCTATTATTGTGCTCATGTCACACCTGCGGAAACCAAGTCTCAGAGAGGTTAAGTAACTTGTCCGAGGCTGCACAGCTACAATCCGAACCTGTGAGAGCAGGCTTTGAACCAGAGACCTTCAAGCCCTGTGGGGACATGGAAACTTCCCAAGGAGCACTGGCCTTGCCAGTTCAAAGAACATCCATTTCCAGATCCTTAAATGTGCTTCCGTCCTGTTTTCGAAAAGTGATCGTCCTGAGAACGTAGCCTTTATCCCGCTTTACAAAAGAAAGGCACACCCTTCACCCATTCCAAACATTGGGTGAATGTGCCAGGGTGAAAACACCCCCAACTCCGCCCCAAACAAAGGGGAAAGTCTGGTCTAACAATGAATCGAGCCTCATATGGTACTTATTCAGAATGAAGCATATTAGAAATGAGGATGTTGGGGAGCCTGGGTGGCTCAGTCAGTTGAGCGTCCGACTTCGGCTCAGGCCATGATCTCGCAGTTCACGAGTTCGAGCCCCACATCGGGCTCTGCGCTGAGAGCTCAGAGCCTGGAGCCTGCTTCGGATTCTGT